AGCGGGTTCCTACTGACTGTTGGGTAAACAGAGGTGTGCGCGTGTGTGGGGGGGCGGTGTGGGGAAGGGGGTGGGGGGGAGTAAGGAAACTTGCCCAACATTTTGCCCTGTCCTGACCCGCCCGGGAATCAAACCCTCGCTCGCGAGGCGAGGGCTCTAACCCCTGAGCTACAGGGATTCCACAGCGAGGTCTCCTCTGAGCCTTTGCCCTCTCCCATCCATTGTGACCCCGTTTACCTGGATAAGCACAAAGAAAATCCAGCCCCGGGTGCCCCGAGAGGGGCTGATGACCGCTCTATAAATAGCCTCTCGGTGATAATTAGTTTTCGCGTATTTACTTTCTTTAGATGTCACGGATCCCAAATTAATTCCCGCGTTGAGAGCCATCTGTCAGGCAGACGAGCGCGGAACATTCGAGCTGAGTTACACGAATCCTTCGCTCTCTCTCTCTCTCCTCTGAACATCCACAGGTCGGGGAATAAACCAAGAATTCAAGGTCCAACACATGGAACTGGAAGCAGACGCTTTGCAAACTGCGTACCGTGAGCAGTCGTCCAAGAGGAAGCCGCAGACGGTATCTTTTTTTTTTTCCCCCCCACTGTTGTCAACATCGTTAATAGTTGGGGGTAGAAACACTACATCCTCTGGTGGTGGTGGTGGTGGTGGTGGGGGGGAGATCGCCCACAAAAAGACGCAGTCACTACGCTTCGCAGTGTCGCCTGTGAAGCGCTTCGAGACGTCTCAAAGCCCCGATAGGGCGGCTGTTACCAAACGCAAGGATTATTATTATTATTTTAATTATTAATCCAGAACAAGGAGGGGGCATCAGCGTACATTTGGAGCTCGGCTAATTAGGAGTGAAATCAAGGCCAACGGAGGCTGACAATTTTGCCGCCAGAGACGACCCACAGACAGCTCCGGAAATGAGCGAGCGACCCAGTGCGTTTGGAGGAGGAGTGTTGGGGCGATCGCACCACGACTTTCCCCCGAAATCCCGCCACGTGCTTTGTCTTACGACACTCGAGACGAGGCGGGTCTCGGCAGAGACCCCCCCCCCCCCCCCCCCCCCCCCCACCCCGGCCCTGATTTGGAAGCTGTGGTTCCATTCGGTTTCCCAACTCCCGACTGTTTGTGGGGACGTGTAATTGACATCACCCCATCAACGGGGTGGGGGTGGGGGGGGGGATGTTGATTTGTTGGGTGTTTTAGGCGATTCTCTCATTCACCCCCAACCACAACCCCCCCTCCCCCCCCACCCTCCCCGCACAAACCCCCCCCAACCCCGAGCTTTTCCAAGTTCTCGATAATAATAATACTTGTGTTTGACGCAGTGCCTCATCACGTCATCGAGACGTCTCAAAGCGCTTCGCAGGACTGAGTGCAGAGTGGAGTGACTGTGCGTTTTGTAGGCGAAATGCAGGATACTGACGTCTGTTCCTCCCCCCACCCCCGCCCCAAAATTCTCTCCCCCTCCCCCCACCCCTCGTTCTCCCCCAGTCTCTCCTCCCCTCTCCCCTCCCTCACCATCCCTCCCCCCAAACCCCCCCCCCCACCCCCCACACAGACAAACACGCAAGAAAATGGTGATTCATGAAAAGGGTGAAGCTCAGCAAAAAAAAAAAAAAGCGCCGGTGGGGGGGGGTGTCTGTGCCTTCAGCGGCTGCTGTACGCAGGTCACTAAATTATACTCCGTCTCATCAGGAACCTACAGCGGACAGTAACGATCTTAAACTTATCGATCGCTCCCGAAACTCGACCTCGGCCCGAAAACACACAGTCACTACGCTTTACGGTCGAACCCCGGCAGAGGTCCTGCCCGCGTGAAAGGCGCCGTCTCAACCGCGAGGCTCGCTGGTGTGAGGACGCACGGCCCCACTTGGCTTCCACCCGAGCTGTTCCGGAGCTATAAATCCCCGGGAACGTGTCAGGTTCGCTCCGGCGGATGTCTCGTTGACGACCGGTGTTTTTTTTTTTTTTTTTCGGTGTGAAATCAATTAAATTCGCAGCAACGCGAACTTTCGCTGATAGTTTCAAAACCGCTCAGTGAAAAAATAATGAGCTTTGGCTTTGGTTTTCAAGGTAATGGATTTTTTTTTTTTTATTTGCCTCGATAAGACCCGGGTGTCCCCGTCTGATATTAACTGATGCCTCTTGTTCCCTTTGTGCTCATTAAAGACTCTGCCGTCGTTTGACTCCAGTGGGACCGTTGACTCAAGGCTTTCCCTAAGCTTTGTGCCCCCCCCCCCCCACCCCGCGCGCCCACCACACCCCTCCCGCACCATTCCACTCAACAAAACTGTCCATTCCTCCCCCCCCCCCACCCCCACCGCCACCGCCTCGAGCATCTTCACATAGACACCTCTGCCCATCAATGGGGTGTAACATTTCCTTCACCAGGGATCATACTCGGCGATTTACAGCGCGTGAGGAGGCCATTCGGCCTATGGAGAAGCTTCACTGACTCTCAGAACAAGTTGTCCATTCAGCCCCTCTATCCTTCATAGAATCGTAGAATATGACAGCGCAGAAGGAGGCCATTCGGCCCATCGTGCTCTTTGGAAGAGGCACCAACTAGTCCCGCTGCCCCGCCCTCCCCTCCCCCCCCCCCGCCCCGCCCGCCCTTTTCCCCATATCCTCGCAAGTTTGTCCTCTTCAAGTCCCTTTCCGATTCCCTTTTGAAAGACAGTAATGAATCCGTTCCCACCTCCCTTTCAGGCCGTGCGGTCCAGATCGCAATGACTCCTCTGCCCGTGGAAAAAAATACCCTTCATCTACCTATCTACCTGCCCACATCCCCCCTCCCCCACACCACACCCCCCCCTATCCAAACGCACAACAGACTCTGCCTCTATCACCTTACTCGACAGGGCGTTGACAGTTCTGGGTGTCTAAACATTTCACCTAAGGTCTCCCTTTGTGCTCGTGGTCATCGGATATCTCCGTCTCTCGAACCGCAGACATTCACGGCACAGAAGGAGGCCATTCGGGTCACTGCGTCTGCTTTGACTCCCTCGAGAGCCTTTCAATCCACCCTTTCCTTTCCTCCCAAACTGACTCGTTTTGGAACTAGTGACCGACTCCCCTACCAGTGGAAACAGCGTCTCCCCAGTCACCTTCAACGTGAGCATCAGCCGAGACTGTGAGCTCAAAGACCCCGACGTTATGGGGCTTGAACCCACAACCCTCTCGCTCAAGGGAGGGAGACGGAGAGGGCTTCTGACCGAGCACAGGCTGACACACGAAACCACAGTGAGAACAGCGAGAGAGCTCCTGCCAACTGTGCTGGGCTGCGCTTGGGGGGGTGGGGGGGGGGGACTCGAAACGCTGAACAGTTGCGGAGCCGGAGAGAGAGAGAGAGAGAGAGAGAGAGAGTGGGGGGGGGGGGGGTGACTGTAGGACGGTCGAAGAGGAAGGTCTTCAGTCCCGATCTGAAGATGGGCAAAGGGGGGGGCGGGGAAAGGGGTGTTGGGGGGGTGCAGTTGAAGAGGAGGGTTTTGAGACGTGCCTTGGAGGAAGGAAGGGAGGGAGGGAGTGGGGATGGGGGGGGGGGGCGAAGCGGGTGGAGGGGAGAGAAGGTGCGGGGCGAAGGGGGTGTGGGCTGGAGTTCCGACAGAGAGAGAGAGAGAGAGAGAGAGACAGACAGCGGAGGGAGATTGCTGTCTAATGGGACTGCACAGTCGGCTTCCGGCCATCGCGAGCTGAGCTCCGAGCCACGCAGCGCGAGAGAGAGCGAGAGAGCGAGAGCGAGAGAGAGCGAGAGAGAGAGCGAGAGAGAGAGAGAGAGCGAATGTGAGGTGAGCGCAGCCTCACAGGGTTTCTCCTCACAGCGAGAGCTCCGCGCGAGGGAGCGATCGGCCTTCGCTGACGAAGGTCTTCAAAGCGGTTTGCGCCGTCGAGGTCGCAAGTCCTTTCTCTCTCGGTTCCACCATTATCATCACCTTCATCGTCGCCAGATTCCTCCGCGTCTCTCCCACCCCCCGACCCCACCCCCACTCCTTTCCCGCAGACGCCCCCCCCCCCCCAACCCCCCAACCCCAACTTCCGCAACAATCTCTGCCCCGAAGAAGAAGAAGAGTCACTTTAGGTCACCCCTCCATTCCCAAACTTCGCCCCAAGTTCTTGCCAATGGAACATAACTGTTAGACAATGCACAGAGGTTATGGGGGGGGGGGCGGTGGGGGGGTGGGGGGGTGGGCGGTGCGTGGGGGCAAGTGGTGGGGGGGAGAAGGGGGGGTGTAAGGGGAAAAGGGGGTGTTCTGTGCTGTAATACGCTTTGATTCTACGCTTTGTGCACTCCTGTTTATAACAGTCAATGTGGCATACAACCTACTTCCTGTGCCCACAGGAAGTCATCTCAAAGTGATGTCATTGGCGACCCAGAATTGGTCCCGGCGGCCATTTTGAATTCCCGCTATAACGCGAGGGGTGGGGGGGGGGGGGGGGGGGAGGGCTTAGGGTTACACCAAATCACGGAATCAAAACATACGTCTGGAGAGCAAAATAAATCTACAATCTCCAGGTTTAAGCCCCGTCACTCCAGACTGGAAACTTACACAGACACAGGTTTAAACTACTTTGTAGATATAGGTAATACATTCCACCCCCCACCACACACACACCCACACACCCACCCACACCCCTCCCGCCACCCACACCCCACCGTCAGAAACCCTTCCTTAACTTTCCTGCTCAGACTCTACGGCAGAACAAAACCCAAGTCAAAGCAGCAACAGGCACGTCCCCGCCATTTGCACAACCCTCGTGAGGGAACCCCAACTAGAAATTGTGCATTCAAGACACCAAAGGACCCCTTTGCCCCAATTACACCCACAACACACACTCAACACACACACACACATTGGTTTCCAATCAACCCAATGGCCAACACTTTCATCTTATGCCCTCAAAAACAAGACACGCCAACACAGAAGCTACTTCCCACCAAATCACCCACCGCCCACCCCCAACGGAATGGAAAGCCAAAGGCAAACGGCACTCACGATCTTGAAGTCTTGCGCGGTGCAGAACTCTCCCCTGAAGATGCAGTGGAGGAGCATGTCCTTCATGTCGTGGCCGGCTCTGGCGTAGAACTCCCTCATGTTGAAAGGTTTGGGTTTGAAGTTCCTGAAGTTGGCCTTTTCCACCAGGGCTTCGAGGATGTGTCGCTCGGCCAGGTGGGGGTCTGGGATCTCGTACCTGTTGTTGAGGAGGGTCAGGAGCTCCCCAGCGTGGTAGAGGTCATTCTTGGTGATCTTACTGAACCTGAACTCGTTGAGGTTGCAGATGGTGATGGCTGGGAAGGTCATGTTGGTGGCGCTGATCTCGTCCAGTTTGGTGACGTGAGGGTATTGGAAGTAGTACTGGATCCTCTGAGTGCAGGTGTGCACCAGGAACGACAAGGACCCCAGAAACGCCAAGGTCCAGATGATGCGCTTGAAGGAAAACCGTTCGTAGGTGAAGATGTGGCTGATGCCATGCAGGGTGGACGTGTTGGCAAAGGCTTCCACGCTCGCTGGGTGGTTGCTGACCCCATCCTCGGCTGGTGGCTTTAGATCCATCGGGTTTAGCCTCTGGGGGAGAGTGGGCGGGTGGTGGGGGGAATGGGGGAGAAAGAGAGAGAGAGAGAGGGGTCAGTGAAAGGAAAAGGGGATGAGGGAAGGAGGAGAGAGGGAGGGGGATGTGGGAAAGAGCAGAGGGGGAGAAAAAAGGTGGGGGGTGGGGGGTCAGGGAGAGAGAAGGGGGAGGAGAGGGAAAGAGAGGATCAGGGAGAGAGAGATGGGGGGAAAAATAGGGAAAGAGTGGGTTAGACAGATTGGAAAGGGGGAAGTGGGGGCGATGGGGGGAATTAGAGAGAGATCCCTTTGAAGCAGAAAGGGAGAATGGGAGAGAGAGGCAGAGAGATGGGGGGAAAGAGAGATGGAGGGGGAGAGAGGAGGGAAGAAATGATAGCAAATAAGATCTAATTGAGTGGAGAGAGGGAGACAGAGAGAGGGGAGAGATGGCCTCTGACAGTCTCACTCTGTCTGTGTGTCTATAGGGTTTCTTCGTTGCACCACATCTCCAAACAGCGATCTCTCTGTGTGGTTCACATGAAAAGCAAACAGCTGCCTTTTGCCATCAGGAGGAGAGAGAGAGGGAGACAGA